AGTGAACAGAAATAGCTCCTGGTAGGGTGTCCGTACTTAGAGGAGGGTAGTTGTTACTACTCTTAGCATGCAGGCAGGCACAGTCAAAATGGTGTAGGTGTTGGAGGTAACAATAAAAAATAATTACAGGTTTTCTTGCTTGGGCCACCAGAGGACCAGGGCTGAAAAACTGGCTACTGAAGTGAGAGAGGGGCATAGACTCCCTTGAAGGAAAGAATAGAGAGGAGATTTCCAAATTCTGCTTGACAATCTTTGGCTTACCTCTGAATGACGCATGCATGAAGCACATACTAAGAAGGTCAGATAAGTCCAGGTGTGGTGGCTCACACCCTCAATCCCAGCACTTTGGGAGGCAGAGGCAGGTGGATTGTTTGAGCCCAGAAGTTCAAGACCAGCCTCAGATACATGGTAAAACTCCATCTCTACAAAAAATAAATAAATGAATAAAAATAAATAAAAAGAAGCTCAGATAAAGACAGATATTTGAAATAAGATTGAAAATATCATTTGGGCTAGGTGCAGTGGCCCATGCCTGTAATCCCAGCAATTTGGGAGGTCAAGGAAGGCAGATCACTGGAGGTCAGGAGTTCAAGACCAGTCTGGCCTACTTGGTGAAACCATGTCACTACTAAAAATACAACAGTTGGCACATCTGTAATCCCAGCCAGTCATGAAGCTGTGGCATGAGAATCACTTGAACCCAGGAGGTGAAGGTTGCAGTGAGCTGAGATTGTGTTACTGCTCTCCAGCCTGGGCAGCAGAGTGAGACTCTGTCTCAAAAAAAAAAAGGAAAAAGAAAAAGAAAATATCATCTGAAAAACTGCAGTTCCAACCAGCTTAAGTGCTTGCTACAATAAAAAATCAACACTAACTGTAAAAAAAAAAAAAAAAAAAAAAAAAAAAAAAAAAAAAAAAAAAAAAAAAATTCAAAGTTTCAGCAACTTAATAAAGGTGAGGTATAATTCAAAATTACCTCACATTTGCAACTGTGACTTAGTCTCAAGAGAAAAGATAAACAACTGGGACCAATTCTAAAATTACAAAATTGTTGGAGTGAGCAGGAAAGCTTTCCCAAGTTGTTAATAAAATTATTTTTAATGAAATATAAGAAAATAGGGTTGCAATACATGAAAAATTTAGGGAATATTGGCAGATAAATAAATGGAATAGAATAGAACCAGGGCTGGGTGCAGTAGCTTATGCTTGTAATCTTAACACTTTGGGAGGCTAAGACAAAAGGATTTCTTGTGCCCAAGAGTTCAAGACCAATATTGGCAACATAGTGAGACCCTATCTATCTATACAAACAATCATTTAAAAACATACCCAGGCATGGTAGCCTGTGTCTATAGTCCCAGCTACTAGGGAGGCTGAGGTGGGAGAATCGCTTGAGCCTAGGAAGTAGAGGCTGCTGTGAGCCGTGGTTGTGTAATTGGACTCTATCTAGCCTGGGCACCAGAGCAAGACTGTATCAAAAAGAAAAAAAAAAAGGGAAAATTCTAGAACTGAGAAATATATTAGAATTTCTTTTTTAAATAGGTTAACTAAACATTTCCACTGTCATCTTCATTAACGTTAGCTATTAGGTTGGTGCAAAAGTAATGGCAAAAACTGCAATTACTTTTGCACCAAACTAACACATCAATAGCAATTGCACAAATCAAATACCATTGAGAATGAGTATATATACATGCATATAAAATGTCAAGGACCTATTAGATAATGTTAGACTGACATACATGCAATCAGAGTCCCAAGGGAAAGGAGAGATAGGATGAGACAAGAAAAATATTTTGGAAAGTAATGGCTGAATGTGTCTCAAATTCCACTTAAGACTCATATTTACTAATTCTAGATACACCATGACCCTTTAGCAAAATACACACGAAAATGGTCATGCCTTGGTACATTGTGTCAAAAATTAATAAAGATGAAGAGTAAATCCTGAAAGCTGAAAAAAAACCACAAAACTTAAAAATTACATGAAGGGGAACAACAAAACAATTAATGGCTAACTTCTAATCAGAAATTATGGAAGCCAAAGATAATAAAATACAGCTTTAAAATACTTATATCAAAAATTGCCAACCCAGAATTTAATATGTAACAAAAATGTTGCTTAAGAATATTTTTAAAAATGAAAATATTTTAGATAAAAGAAAGCTAAAACCTATACTACAAGAAATAACACTTATTCAGGCTAAAGAGAAGTGATGATTCAAATAACAGCATTAATTATCTTTTTGGTATTCATAGAACCTTAAAAAAAATCTTACAAATATAGAATGAACATTCTTTTCAAGTGCACATGATCATTCAGAAAGATAGACTTTATACTGGACCATAAAACAAATCTCTTTAATTAAAAAAATTTGAAATCATATAGAGAATGTTTTCTAACCAGAATAAAATTAAGCTGGAATTCAATAAAGGAAATGTATGTGTAAAATCCTCAAGCATTTGGAAATTAAACAAGGTGGGTCCAAACAATGGCCAAAGAAGTAAAACAAAGCATTGTAAGCATCTGCTGAATGATAATATAAATGCAATACATCAAGTATACAAAATACAAAATGTGATATATGGAAGCAAGCATATTGTTCACAAAAAGTATTTGAAAAAGCAATTATTTACTACCTGGTTTTAGCATTTCTACAAAGCCAAAAAAATCATGATAAGTGATACTGGCATAAAGCTTGGAAAACTGGTGAATGTAAAAGAGTTAACACAGAAATAGAGTTATATGACATTTGATTTTTTTGATAATGCACCAGAACAATGAGGAACAAAATTCTTTTCAACAAATGATGCTAAAATAACTGGTTATCTATAAGAAAGCAATGATACTCACTACATACACAAAAGTAAATTCGAAATGGATTATAGACTTAAATATAAATGCCAAAACCTTAAAGCTTTTCTAGGTGAAACTTGGGTTTAGACAAAGGAGTATTAGATCCTAGTAACCTAATTGATAAATTAGGCTTCATAATTGAAACTTTCTCTCATCCAAAAATGCCATTAAGAAAAAGTGCAGGCAACAGCAAACTTGGAGAAAATGTCCATAATACATACATCTCACAAAGAATTGTATCCAGATTATATAAACACTCACACTCACCAGAACATTTAAAATGAAAAAGAAGGACATCAAATGTGGACAAAGATGTAGAGCAACTGGAACTTCATAGATTGTTGGTGGGAGGATAAAATAGTTCCATTACTTTGAAAAAATGTTCAACAATTTCTTTTAAAAGTAAACATATGCCAACTATATAATCCAGCAATTCTACCCCTAGGTACTTTTCCAGTAAAAAAATGAAAGCATATGATGACAAAAGTCTTGTAAAAGAATGATCACCACAGGTTTATTTGTAATAGTTGAACAATAAGAAACAACTTAGATGCCTATAAACAGGAGCATTAATAAATTATCGAAAATATTGATACAGTGGAATACTATGGACTAATAAACAGAAATAAATGTTTGCCACACAAAATTGTGTTACTTTCCTATTGGTGCCATAAGAATTCCCACATATTTAGCAGCTTGAAACAGTACAAATTTATTATATCGTTATCAATAAATAACTATATATTTATTTATATATTTAGGTCAGAAGTCCCAAACAGATTATTTTATCTTACCATAGGCTTGGGGTGAGGCTCAAATGAAGTAAATAATTATATAATGTGGTATTTAAACAAAATATATCATCCTATTCCTATTCTTTATAGCTTTTTGTTTTTACATGAGGTATTTGTTGAATAAAAAAGCTGATTAAGTGGATTATAAGTAAAAATTTATAATTTCAATTTTGACTTCTTCAATCTCATTCTTTTTCAGTTTCCCTCGATACAATGTATGTCTTAACCATTGGAATCTTTTACTCCTTGAAAACCCCAACTCTCTCAACTATTAGGCAGTACTATTCACTGTGCCTAGAATACACTTCCTTCACTTCCTTTGCTTTCCAAATCCTGCCCCTACCTCTCTACCATTTCATTCCTACCATTCAGAAATCCATATTTATCCTTATTATTTAACTTTACTTTTGAGTACGCTTTCCTCAAAATTCTAAATGAAATTAAGTCTCCTTACTGTGAATGTCATATTTGTTCAATGGATACATGAGTTACTGATTTTCTCTATATACCTCCTCATTCTAAACATCCTCTCTAATTCTTTCTTTTTCATGCTGCATTGTACAGCCTATGACAGAAGGAATGTTTTCTGTCTTGTTTGCCACTGTATTTACAGTAGTTATTGAGGAGCCTAGCAAACAGTGGGTACCTGATTAGTGTTTGTAAAATGACTGACTAAATGAATAAATCAATGAGAACAGTTAGCATTATCAGTGTTGTGGACTCCTGTAACTAATGTGGTTCTTAAAAATTTTCTGATATGCTTAATCAATCTTTCCTAAGAGGTACTTAGTTTACCTTCTCTGCCTTAGACAACTTCTGAAAATGTTTCCTCTGGATCAGAAACCTGTTTCCTGACATTTCTAGGAAGGCATTCATTCCTGCCTCATTTTAACCTCTTACTTAATCAATAGAAGGCATCTCTCAGAACCATCTTGCATAGCCAGATTCTCTTGTTCTGGACCCTTCTAATCAGCCAAGCTGATTGCTTCACATCTCACTTTCAATCTTCCCAGAATAACGTTTTAAAATAACAAGTGAAAGCAAGACTTACACATTTATGCATTGCCATCTAGTTACAGGATATCTTTATTAGAACTCTTATTTATTGATAACTTTTCCCTTTGGCATTTCAACTCCCTCACATTACATACTATCATATCCTATATGGTACACTGAATAAATGAAGAAAATCACAGGATTTTCCCTATTATAAACACCACAGATATGTGTTGAAGATGGCTGTAAGCTCTAGCTATGTAGCTGCAGTTCACACAGAACAACATGGGGTGGAAAGATGCCAGAAAGATCCGGTTTTAGGAAGTGACTGACGAAACCACAAATAATCATTGCAGGATAATCATGGATCAGGGGCTGCTTTACACAATTGTTGCTGTGGCTGTCTATGAAGATGTTATTATAGGATGCAAAGGCCATGCAGCTGGCTTCACAATAAAGTGGAATTCTTTGCAGAAAACTGATGAGCTACTGCCAGCTTCTAGATCCAAGGTAAACAAGAAATGAAAGAATAGATTTATTTTCCATTTAGACTCACATGTAAGCAGACTAACCACACTGGTATTGTTGAGGCTAAAAAAGGGAGTAGACAGTTTGGATGGAGTTTCAGATTTCTGCTTCCCATGTGCCCTGCAACTCAAATATGCCCGGTGGGGAAATGCTGTGGCTTCCATCTGGAATTTATGAGTAAAGAATCCCTCGGTTTCAGTGCACCTGATTCTGTCACCAAACCTCACCAACTTCACCTTGAGCTAGGATTACTTCGGAATCTAATTCCAGTCTAGGAGATACTGAGGACATATAGGGAGGGGGGAACTTGGCTTGCGAAGAATACTTACTTTATAAGTAGTCTTAAAGCCATTTAGCATTTAGAGAATGTTTTGTGTTTTTTGGGTGGTGTGGGGGCATGAATATTGAGGATATTTTTCTTCCAGTGTGATACATGGCTCAATTACATCAGAATTGATCAATTATTCCTGAAATGATTACATTCAGTTTCCTATTCTAGATCCAGTGTACTCTTCTTTCTGGTTGTAGAGCATATGATTCTACATTTTCATAAGCACTCTAAAATTCTTCTAGAACACCCAAAATCGGAAAAGTCTTATTGAATAAAGTCCATGGGACCCTGAAAGCCCCTAAATTGCAGATATAATTTAATGGAGTTGCCAAAGAGAAGTTCCATAGCTTTCACACACATTCTAAATGTTCTTTGCCCCCAAAATGTTTTAAACCATCAGATTACACCATCTTCTGAAGAGTGACTTGGGTTCTGTTGACTCATACCCTTGCTGATTATAGCTTTTGTGAAGTATTGACAAACAACTATAAACCAATTCCCAGATAATCCGAGTCTAAAATTCATGGTAGGTATGAAAGCCACAGAGAAAAGTCTTTTAGTCTTTGCCTTAATCCTTTCTTTCCTTTATATCCCTAATTTAGTCTTCCTATAATTAGATAGGTAAGTGTTTTCAGACCAACCTCATTTGTAAGCCTGAACCATCCTGACAAGAATATGCAATATATAAGAAGTCCTACAATATTATCTATGCATTTGGAATAAGTTTTCTGACCAACAGATCTATAATCTCAGGAACTAGATTTCAGCCCTACATACTTGTGTAATATAAAGTTACAATGCTTCCTACCTGCCTTTTCCCCCTTCTTTCACATGGGTTTCTTACAGATATCATTCTATATCACAGAACTAGCAAGCAATACATTTTCACCTGTTTTGTTTTCTTGAAATTCAGTCTGGGCTCTAACCTCCCAGATTTCCTTGGTAGATAGAAATCTAATGTCTGCTATTACTGAATTCTTGAAAATATCCATGACAATACAAAAATCCTAAAATACCTCGCCCAGAAGAATATATTAGGCAAAGGGCCTTCCGTTATTAAGTCAAACTGATTAGCATTGAGATAACCATTGACCCACTCTCTATGGGTCATATTGAATTCAGCATTGGTGTTCCTTCCATGTCTTCCAGAAAATTTTTCTGGAGCAAAAAACCCTAGTGTCTTAGATCCAGCACCTTCATGTGAATCATATGAAGTGTCTGGAATAATGAGTAGGCATTCTTAGGTTCCTAAACACAGTTTCTCTCTTGTTACAGAATTCATTGCATGTGCAGCTGACACGTGGCCCTCTTTGCATTGCTCTTGGGAACTGAGCATCAGGGAACCTAGCACAAATGTTGATGTTCTGGCTACTGCTATTGCTGTGAGCCTCTAATCCATGACTCAGGTGTCCAGTGTCTTCTGCTAACATCTGTAAATCTGTAGCAGTAGATATGGTTTGGCTGTGTCCCCACTCAAATCTCATCTTTAATTTCCACATGTTGTGGGAGGGACCTGGTAGGAGGTGATTAATAAAGGGGCTAGTTTTTTCCTATGCTGTTTTCATGATAGTCAATAAGTCTCATGAGATATGTTGGCTTTATAACATGGAACTTCCCTATACAAGCTTTTTAATTTTTTGTCTACTGCCATCCATGTAAGATGTGACTTTCCTCCTCCTTGCCTTCCATCATGAATGTGAGGCTTCTCCAGCCACGTGGAACTGTGAGTCCATTAAACTCTTTTTCCTGTATGAATTACCCAGTCTTGGGTATGTCTTCATCAGCAGTGTGAAAACAGACTGATACAGGTATAATCTCAGTGCCTGTTTAATTCTTGGCACTTCTTTGTCCTGCCTCCTAGGTGGAACCCATCCCAACTCCAATAGCAAGATTTACCCCAAACATTTGGCTTTGCCAAATTTCTTCCACACTCTGTATGGGATCTGCCGGTGGTCTGCTTAGGGGTCAAGGCCATGCTCCCATAGGTCCTTATCCCAAAGCTTCATGGTACCTAGTCCCAAGTTCTTCCTGTCCTCTCCAGATTTTGATGTTGAGGTTCCACCATGCAATGTACCTGACTGAGCCAACCTACATTTTACAAAAAGTCTCAACCAGGGTGAAATGTATAATAGTGCTGACTTATTTCTGTATTTTTTAAGAGTACCTACCAAGTGCCATAGAGGTATAGGCTTTGTTGTAAAATAAATACGTATTTTATTAATCTTTAGGGAGCAGGTAATTATACAGTATGATGAAAAGATTAAAGGAGCATTTTTTAACAAACTTTTAAAATCTAAGCTTCACTTTTTTCTTTTTTTTCCTGTTTACCTCTAGATTCTCTTCCTCTTATCTCATATTTCATGATCCAATGGGATCTTTGATTATAACAGCACTCTTCCTGCCCATGCACAAAACTAATTAAATATGACCCTATTAAAAGGGCCATATCTATATTCTATGACTCAAGGCATTTCCCAGCTTGCAGTTTCTAAATTCCTTCTTAGTTCACACACCTTAATTAAGTATGGTTCACAAGATTTTATCTCTTGGTCTCTTGGATACACACACACAGATGTACACATACAAACACAAACATATATATATTACATACAAAAAACATTAATGTGCGTGTATAGTTAAAATATAAATAAAATCCATATACCCAAAACCCAGCTTAAAAATAAAATATTACCAAAGTATTCAAAGTTACCTCTACGGCTCTCTCTAATTCCATTCCTGTCCTATAGTAAACTGCTATTTGAAATCATTGCCTTGCTTTTTGGTTTAATTTATAGTTTTAGTTCATCTCTGCCTCTATTCCTATACAATATATGGTTTTGGCGTGCATGGTTTTGGAGTTTTTTGTGAATGGGTTCACACATATTAATTTGTGACTTTTTTTCCTGAAATGTTTACGGTAATAATTATCCCTATCACTGCGAATATGGATAGACTCATTCACTTGTACTTGATAGATTCTTATTCTCTCTCTAGCTACTTTGGTTCATTGACTTTCTTGTCTTTTTCACCTGGCTTTGGTCCCAGATAGTGCTTCACACATCACCCTTTGTAATTTGCATTCCGTTCTATAAATTTGGAGCTAGTCCTGTCTTCCTTCTCCTGTCTAGCCCAAATCTCCAGGATATCCCAACCAAGTGTGGGTCATTTTTTTTCTGGAAAATAGCACATCTCATACTTTCCTAGGAGAGCCTTGATGGACCTTAGGCATCTAGGCATCTACCTTCTTTTCTATCCAGTGAGATCATGGCTGCTTTTTTTTTCTAGCAATCACTTGCTGGTAGATGATTTTAAAAAATCTGTTTATGATTTCTCTAACTCTTTATCCACCTTTCTTATAGCAGAATGTGTAAGTAACAGATAGTGCAGTCCCACATAGCCCAGAAAAATCTACTCAACAAGATTTAGTTTGTCTCACCCCAGTACCCTAGTCCAAGAGAGGCAAATAAACAGGCAATGTGCTCAGTAAACAAAATGAAAAGCAGAATGAAAAACTGTCAATGAAAGTTAAGAAAAATAAATAAAAACACAAGGAAGATGCATTTTAAGGATCTAAAATGCATCCTCCTGTTGAATGTAGATGGAGGAAGGGGAATTGGATTGAATATGAAGAGGCCACCTTCTACTCTCATATGAAAAGATCGTTTCCCTTTTCAATTCCTCTGTGACCCCTTCCCATCCCTTCTTTCTCTTTTCTCCTGCTTTCCTCATCACCTACCATGTACACACAGCAGGCAGGTTAGTTAGTAGGAGCACACTGAATTTCAGAGACTGAAATTAAATTAACTCTTCTCAGCCCTTCCTTCCTCCTCCTTTTTGGTTGAAGTTACAAGATTTGATCTGAGACAAAATGCAATGGATTTTTATGCAGGCAAGTGTTGGTTCATGTAGGCTAGGACACTGATGGAACAGAGAAGCAGGCATGTTCAGAGAGTGTGGGACTGGCAGTAGTGAATTGGGGAAAGGCAATGCCAACAGAATTTTGGCAGTTTTGCTGATTTTTGAAAACATATGCAAGATTAGATTAAAACACTCTTCAAACTAGCAAAAGCTAGGGCCAGATTGTCTCTGCTATAATGCTCAGGCTGGCTGGCACTTTTGACTCTGAATTTCTGTTTAAGTGTCAAGCCTGACCTTTACTCAGTTTAATTCAATTCAATGTAATTCTACAAAAATTATTGAAGCCAACTTTTGCTAGACTACTGCACTAAAAGACCCTAAAATTCATTCCGTCACTTAGTGTAAAGAGTATTTTTAAATATTAAGAAAAAATTCCCAATAAAAACAATGGTTTTCAGGGCCTTTTCCTAGCAAATGTTTTCTCCATCTGACTTTAGTAAGCACAAGCACCAGTTATGACAACAAGCCAGGGTCAGAATGAGAAGATAAAGGAAGAAAGGCAAGTATAAGGGTTGGAAGCTGGTTCAGCAATCACACTGGTGAGTATCGTGAGATTCATGTTTCTTATTTTCTAATGAGAGGCAGCATGATGTAATGCAATGTCCACTGAGTAAAAGTTGAAAGAACTTTCTTGAGCCGAATGAGCAACTTCACCTCTCTGAAAGTTATATTTAAGAGTAAAGTGACATAATATGACCTTACATTTTAAAATTGTTCTAAGAGTCCAATGAAG